AAGCCATTGCAGACAATATGAGTCAATTTTGTTGCGGAGGAAATACTCAGACGCATTTATGCGGAGACATCGCGATGTGAAGCGAGCTGCTTCCATGTATCGAGACTGCGCTAAATGACGCGTAATGCGGTTTAACAGGCTTAAGTTCATTCTAAGCAAATGCTATGGTAACCACCCGCACGCCTATGTGGCCGCCACGGAGATGGACTGTCACTACAATTCAGCTTGCCAACATCAGCAAATCTTGACTTTATGACAGAATCAGTGTTTTTTTCGAGGGAGGTAAAACGTCATGCGTAAATAGCCAGGATGTCTAGAAGCCACAAATTAATACTAAAGGCAGGCGAAACTCATACGAATATGATATATTTCTACTGAATTCGTTTAGCCTACCGACTCGCGCAACCCGTGCAGCCCATGAATTTATAATTGTGACCGTGCTAAATCGGTATGTTTATTGTCGTATCAAAATAGGAGTGAGCTATACTCGATAAATTTACAAAAGAAATGCTAACACATCTAGTGCTTACGCGGGCTTTCTGAAGCATAGCATCACTCCACTCATACGATAATATCGGATTAGAAACACTTTGATTGAACGAAGCAGCGTCTCTGTAACAATCTGTAGCTGAGCCGCACGCTCTTTAAAGCGGCGACATAACCTTAAGGCACAGAGTGTGCGCTACGTTTTTACTGCGAAGCCGATTCTTGAGGACTGAACCCGACTTTTGCCGAATCTCAGTTTCTGACACGCGCTCAAGCTCTCGGAGAGAGTCAATGTTCCCCCATGTTTACGAAATCCAGCAGCGCAAGGGTCGGTCTTATCTGACACTGCTTGATGAGTAAGAGGGGCGGAGTGTCGTGACACTCTCTTCTTTTGTTGGAAAAGGGCACGAAGTGCGTTCTTGAGTAAAGGAAATGTTGAGTGCTGTGAGACCTTTCCCGTCGTGAAAGGCTAATCGAGTATCTCTGTGAGTCAGACCTCGAAAAGTTACTGTTACCAATCTCATTGAAGAGCACCTCGGCTTATCGTTAATCATGACTTTTAGAGTGTTAAGAGCAAGGACCGCACCTTTTATGAAGGCTTGTTTGGCCATTTATCGTAAGTGCACGGAAAGGGGTACTCTGCGGGAGAATATTCTGAGGAGCAGGTACGGTAAAGTGCACAGGTTGGATCTACGTATAGTGGTCGCTCGTTGACAGTTCAATTTTGCGGTGCCTTATAAGTGTAAAGGAAGTACAGTCCACTTTGACGTAGGGATGGCGAAACAAGCTATCCTGTAATCTTGCGTTCTTACACCTTCTACTTTTGTACAATTGTATAAACATTGCATTTGATGTAATCGTGACAAACCACAGATACCGAAGTAGTCATATACATGATGATGGTTAGACTTTGTAAAGGTCTAAGTGGGCCGCCAGCTGCACGTCGAATGATAGAGATATTAATGTTATGGTATACAATAAGACGACATCTTTCTAGTATGAATCAAGATAGAATCAACTGAACATTCATGGCACTCGATAAATTGCAGAGCACACTATTACCTTAATTAAATTTGAGGCTGCCGTTTTCCCTCCTGGGTCGAGCGAATAGATTCAGCTTTGAGCGTTTGTATTCAATAGCTATCTGAGTCTAAGGCAGCCCAGTAAAAGAGCGTTCCTCGTTATGCTCCGTATTCACGAAACATTGTTGCATCTTGGTCTTTAAGCTTAGCTTTGAAGTATCAAGGTGAAGATCCATCGTGACATTAGGGGTGGTCCATGATATATCACTAATCTGGGCTTAAGACAACAAAACGTGTTTTAAAGCTTCTGTCTTCAGTTGTTCCCGAGGGTGTAGACAAGTGGCATCACAAGGCGCAGAAACGGAGATTGTTTAGACGGCAGTTGACACTAATGCTTGCTGTTTTTGTGAGCTATTAAAAATTTTGTCCACCAGTTCAAATTGTTAACCAGTCTTAAAAAAAGGTTTCCGAAAGGCTGGGTGGTGGCAGATCATATCAAAAGGACATATATGAAAGGGATCTGTACAGGTTCACCTTTTAACTTTTTTACTGTCCATCAGCGTTAACATGTTCCTTATCGCAGAAGAGGTAGACGTCCGAAGAACAACTCTTATTCCGCGTGGGGCGGTTGAAGCAACCGTTTCAGGAGCGCGCGAGATGCGATTCAGCACAGCCAATTGGGAAACAAAGAGTAATTTCCTAGGTGCCAAACAGCTCTGGGTAATTACAGAAACTCACTTCCTGTATATCTCCTTATAATGGCGTGGAAAAATATGCTCAAGTCTGGAAGGAACGCATTCTAGCGGGCTGTCAGGAATATGTGATGCTGGAAGCTGAGGGAGGGACCATGCGTTTGCCCAACCTTTGACAGAGACTAGAGGTGCTCTATCCCTCGAAAGAGTGGGTTGCATCGGAAGATTCTACTCAAATCACGAACCGACTGATCCGGCATTATGCTGAATCGGGAGCGAGCAGCCGAGCTGCATGATGCGGCAGGTCTTCTACGAAAACCAATTTACGTCATTGAAGCCGACGACACAGGACATATTCAGGCCCGGCGATATTGCTACCAAAACAAGACCGGTATTGACGGAATCTCCAGAAAACTGGGGTGCGATTTCAACATGACGATTCCTGAGCTCAACAAGTTCATGCAAACAGCGCGACAACATAGAGTGTTGCCGAATACGCTCCTTTACAAGAGGCGACGGAACAGTGGAGACCATTTCCAGGTACTCAAATTCGAGGATCACCTCTATCTAAACTTCTTAGTTCAGGAAACAGCGGACGTACACCCAACATGCGCGAGCGACTGGATGACAACCATAGTGCCCTAAATATGCCACCGGTCGACGCTACCCCACAATGGGAATTCGATTTACAAGAGGACGAGGAGAGGCACGAAGCTGCACAACAACTAATGTCAACATCTAAGGATGGAAAGACCGTGGAAGATCGAGTGGTGAGAAGAGAAGATCGCGAAGCATACCTAAGAATCCTTAGGCTTCAAGGCCCAAGTAAAGCTTGGACCAACGAAGATCAGGAACGGAGAAAGAGAATGATGCAGGCCAATCTCACGAAATTGAAGGAATGGACGGCGAGCGGCCGTATCATTTGTCTGAAGATGGAAGTCTCAACTTTCTAGGATCTGAAGACATTGAGCGTTTCCGATGAATCCGTTTTCGGCCATCTTAAGCAACTCTTCTACTTCTTGCCTTATCCTGAGCTTGCTGCCCAAGTGATCGGGAATAAGTGGTTGCCCTTGAGGTATACATCAAGCGGTCAGAACCCAGGTCGATTACCTTCACCGCCTCGATGCGAATTTGAAGAAGCAAGAGGTCAAGCAATTCATCAAAAAGTGGTTAAATTCCATATATAGCGCTGACCAGCAATACGGAACAAAATGGAATACAACCAGCTCGGACAGGTGGAAGCGACTGAAAGCAAGAGTTCCTACAGCTCTCTCAGGACATGTACATCTCGGTTTGGATAAGTCGGAATGGACTTTAGCCAGCTTCCTCCCGAACATAATCTTCTTTTGGAGACCGTTGGCGGAGTGGACCCGACGCCAGTGGGTGAAGACGAAAGGAAGGATTCTTGTCTGGAAGAAATCGCATCGGCTTTCGAAAAGAACGATCAAGTACGCGCGGCAATTCGAGCTATCTTGGGTAAGAAAGATTGGAGGCCTGCCATCAAGGTTAGAATCAAGCTGACCCAACAGATGGACGTCGGCCCGACCTGGCCATCGCTGGAATCAAACGATTCTTGTGAAGGCCACACAAAATGCTAAAGGCTCCCCAAGGGAGCATGGGGCCGGAGGTGTGGGCGACCATAGCTCTGGTCCTCAGGAGATACAAGTCCCGGTCGAGCCACTATTGACCGACTTCAATCACCTGATTGATGATGAAGGCAGACAAGATCGGTTATTTCAAGATTTTCAAGCGCAAGCCAAGGCAAGCAGATACCTTCGCAAGAGAACACGGAAGTCGAGACGAGGGATACGCCGAAAAGAAATGACATTTGGACTCCACACTCAGAATGTCCAAGGTATGCAGAACACGATGAAACCCATCGGAAAGTGCTTCGAGGATCTCAGGCAAACTTCAATTGCTGGACAGCACTCGACCAGGAAACACATTCGACGAGCGAAGAGATCCCGACGTTGACGAGGATACATAGTCGAAGTTTTGGGTGTACGAACCAACTCAAGCCAAAGGGATCTGCTCATGGTGGAGTCCAAGCGACGGTCGCGAGGCGGGCGTGGCGATTTTTGTAAGCCCGCATGCGCAAATCTCGAACATCAAGCCCTGCTGGGAAGCGGAATGGAAATCCCATTGGATGGCGATGACAATGGACATCAGAGGGGAATCGGCCTTACTTTTCAGCGTGTACGCACCGACGAATAGAAATCAGCGCGAGGCTCTCGTCACCGCGCTCGGTGAGCGGAAACTCGAACATGATGGACCTGTTTTTATAGGTGGAGATTTCAACTGTACGGTGAGCCCGCGTACTGACCGGTCATACCAAAACCGACGGCGAATGAACATTTCTCACCAGCACTGATGGATCTAATACAAAAATGGAACCTAGTGGATGCGCTGGAGCGCGAAATGCTTAACGCGAACGATCCAAAATAAGTGGAAGCCTTCCAAATGGCATATCACACTCATAAGTACACGTTACCAGGGGGTGGGAAAGCTAGTAGCAGACTAGATAGATGTTACGTCTCCGGCGAGCACGACACCTGGATTCGACAAGTATCCAGAGTGATTTCAAGCCCAAGATCGGATCACGACGGAGTCTCACTGAAGTGAGCCCCAGGAGGTCGGACAATGAAAAAGCGACCGACGTGCTACCCGGTTCCTGATTACGCGCTAGAGTGTGCCCAATTCATGGAAGCAAAAAATTACGATGATGCTCAGTCCAGGTTCAGCCCAGACACGGCCAATCTTTCACGTGCGAAAAGGATGGCCGACTGGTGGGATCGTGCGAAACGAGCATTAATCAGAGGGTAGAAGACCTGCAAGGGCACATGCGCGGCAAAAATGCGGGTCGCATATCGACAACGACTGCGACGTCTTTACTCTAGACTAGATACAGCAACGCGGTTGCCCTCCAACAACGCTGAGTGCCATGACTCAGATGGTACGCAAGCAGGCTGCCTGCGCGAACAAATCAGAGGCTGTCAAGACAAATGGAGAGAAGCAAAAGCACGACGTTTGAGTCGAAAGCACGCACTTTTTCCTCAGAGATTGACAGCGGACTTCTACAAGCGCATTGCATCCAAGTATGGCGACAATGTGGTATATAACCTCGACAATGCAAGACAGCATGCTTCCCCGACGGAGCTAGCGGATACTATGGCATTCGGATGGTCTTCCATCAGCATACAGAGTCCCAACTGATTGACGATTATATCGCCAGCATCCGACCACCGAAAAGGATCGCTGATCTGGAAGAGCTTGACGCCCAAGTTTCCTTGGACAAAGTCCGAGCGGCTATCAAACGGTGCAAACGTGGAAAGTCCTGCGGCCCGGATGGTCTAGGTAACACTTGGTATTGAGACCACTGCGACCGCATTGCTCCAATTCTCGTGAGGCTATTCAACGACTGGTAACAGGCTGGTGTTGTCCCAAACTCCTTCGGCGAGGCGAATATTCAGTGCATCCAGAAATCGAAAACAGCGACTCACCCACTGGACCATCGGCCAATTGCCTTGCTGAACTC